GCCAAGTAATCTACAATGGGAAACTTACGGAATCCTTCGAAGTGAGGATGGGAGTGAGGCAAGGCTGTCTACTATCGCCAATGATTTCCCTGATTCCAGTAGATTGATAATGTGACAAACAGCGTGCAATGAGGAAACAGGCATAAAATGGACACACACGAATAAAGAACTTGGAGGATCTGAACTTTGCCGATGATATATGTCTGATTTCTCACAAACTGGAAGATATGCAAGTGAAAAGCAAGAAGTTGGTAGAAGAAACATCCTGAGGAGATAGGATTGCACGTCAACATAGATAAAACAGAGGTGATGATGATTCCTGGCCAACACCACCAACAGCAACAACAACAGACAACAATCAGCCAGAATAAATGGGAGGGACCAGAAAGAACCAACCTCCTTTACCTACCTGGGAAGTATTGTTTCAACTACAGGCAGGACTGACGAGGATATCAAAGCCAGAATCGGAAAAGCAAGACAAGCTTTCATTACTCTTAAGTCTGTGTGGAGATCAACAGCACTCAGCATCAAAAATAAGATCCGGATTTTTAACTCCAATGTGAAGTCAGTTAGTGCTACTATACGGATCAGAGACTAAGCGCGTCATAAAGAGCAACTCAAACAAACTTCAGACCTTCATTAACAGTTGTCTTTGCTCAATACTCAAAATCAGATGGCCGGCCAGAGAAGATAAGCAACAGGGATCTCTGGCAATGAGCGAACCAACACAGCAGGAACCGATTGTGCTACAAATAAGCAGGAAGAAATGCAGATCGATTGGCCATACTCTGAGAAAACAGGCCATCGAGTGACATCACTAGACAAGCCGTCGCTCGAGTGGAACCAGAAAGGGAAGTGGCGAGTTGGTCTTCTGTGCGAGGGTGACTTGTAGGAGGTCATGTGAAGAGGAGATGAAAGCGTGTGGGAAGACTCAGAGCTGGGTGAAAACGTTGGTGGAAAAAAACGCAATGGAGACGTGCGGCTGAAGCCCTATGTTCTTCTAGGGATTAAAGGAAATAATAATAATACTAAGAAGAACACTTACAGGTTTATTTTCGAGATGACACCAGTTCGAGAACCATTGGAATAATGAGAGTATCGGTTAGCTGTTTCATCCTAGTTTGGGACTCTTCGTCAGCATATGCTTCCTAGAGTTTGAACCCAGGATCTTCTGGCTACAAGACATGAAAGTACTTCGCACTCTTAACAATTTTATTTCTTCATCTTATTCCTTTTTCCTTCAGTCAGCATTAGGGAATGATACAATTTTTTTGGCGTTTTATATATTTTCACTTTTACCTGCTAAAATAAAACTAAAGATATGTATATTTATTCCTATACATACTTCCCTAGTGCTGCTTCTACTACAACTACTACTAATATTTTAGTGTGTTGTAATCTTAGGCAGATATAAGTTGTATATCAAGTGACGCATTCACAGAGGAAATGGTACTTTGTGTGGTAATGAAAACGTCACTAAAGAAGCGACCAAAGCAGAAGGTAAAAATAATGTGAATAATCTGATAAGTTATGGACAGAATGGTAAAAGAACACACCCAATACATTTAAAAGAAAGTGATAGTATTTTCGAATTTTGAAATCGATGTTTTAATTTTTATGACTTTTCTCCATATATGTATATATATATCCAGTATATTCTGTCCCAGTAGACATCTAACCTAACCGGTCTTACTGTCTTCCACTTTATTAACACTAATACTAATTCTGAAAAGCATGAGTTAATTGGTTAATTTGTCTAAAGTCTGACAAAAGATAATCTGATGTAGACAAACGTTTTCAGCTGCAGTGAATGGTAAGAATTGTCTCTTAAAAAATGTTTATATTTGATATCGTATTCCAAAAAAGGAGTAGTGAGGAAGACGAAAACAACCGACTTTAGGAATTCTCTTGAGATTTACCCTGCTGAAACACATATATCCAGTAAAACAACTACTCATATAACATGCATGTAACAGTCCATACTCACAGCTGATAATGATTAATGTGAGTGGTATACTACTAATCATCGCAATTATTCAGTAGTTTGTAGTTTACGCATTTACGTCTGCGTTCTTGATTACCAGTTATGGAGTCAAGAAGACGGTATATTGTGATCTCACTAATTTTGATTTCCAATGGAAACTATGGCGAAATTTCACTTCCTCAAACTGTGCAAATTTCGAATTAATTTGCAGATTTTGAATCTCATTTATGATATCACCAGTTAGCCCAAGTGCCTAGCAGAAATAGAGCGGCTTGAAATGATTCAACCCTATGAGTTGAGTCAAACTGGGTGAGCTACTGACGGCCTTCTCCCCAAACCATCGAAATGGCTATCTGGTGTTTAGATCACTTCGTTCACGCTGATTAGCAAGCACTACTGGTTGATGTCAGTGGGAAACAGCTACTTAGCTCAATCTACAGTATGTTAAATGGTGGCCACATTACAAACCTGACTGATAGAATCCAGTCTGCACCAAACAAAGGACTAGACACATCACACTATTTGCTAGTGTCCAATCAAAGTATCCACTACCATCCTACAGGAGGTCAACCGCCAGCCTAAATAGCCTAGTGGTAACGTGTCTGACTACAGGACTGGGTGACGCGGGTTCAAATCTCAGAAGGAATAAGAGTCCCTTCAAGGTGATTTCAGATACGCCCTGCGGACAAGTGCCAGCTCGCACGAAACCTAAGTCCTGTTGATTGCCTCCAATCATCTAATACGTTGTTCCAAATACCAGCTGATATTCTCAATCTATTAGTATCCTTACTCATCAAAAATATTCATCGATCTCAGAGGACTCAAGTAGTATACACCTTGTATTTTTGTTTGTCAGTCTTGGTGCCACTTTAGATAAGAGCATATAGGCTGACTTATTGCTTTATTATTCAATTTTCTGAGGCAACTACCTTGTGCCCTTTATTACTGACTATGAAAAGTTTCAAAACCCTTTCCCTGTCACCTAAATCAGTGTTATTGTCGTCAAAATTATTGCATGCTCAAGTATTCAAGTGAAGATTAAAGAAAGATACACAAGGTTCACGTTTGCGCCACCTATTTCATTTTGTGAAACCTTCAAGCTGCACATTATTATGAACCTTTTTTATGAAAACTAAGTCAAACCCCCTGCTGAATACCAATTCTTTCGAGTGCAAACGTGCAAAAATCTAGATCCATGGTTTCCTGTCTAATTGATTTCCACTATCTAATAATAACAAAAGGTACACCATGGTGTCGAGTTAGGTAGCTAAGTGGCTACATGGGAAATTTAACTTTTAGGATTCTCTAGGAAATAAGGACTAGACATATGATACTGTCAACTCAGAGCCTTGTGAGAAAACAGCCTGGATAGTTTCTCAGTCAAACAGGAGTACTCAAGATACATTATACATTATTCAGGCTAACTTATAAGTGACAGAAATGCATGACGATAGAGATTAAATATTTTATTGCATTACAATTAGTCGACGGAGAGCGGGAAAATTAAATCAAAGGAATAATAATTGACCCTCGTTGCGCAAAGACTGGCCCTCTTTGCCTAGGTAGCCTGGTGGATAATGCTTTGGCAATTGAAACGACGGATTTGGCGTTCAGGTCTCCATGGGAACAGCATCTCTCACTGCGAAATGTAGGTATGTTCATCTGACAATTCTAAAACCTTGGATTCAATTTCTAGTACCTATTCAACAAAATAACACAATACACTTAACCTGTTTTCAAGTATTTCCCAGTGGCTGCTTTGTAGATAATGTTTGAATGAAGTCTCTTTTATTGGAATTATGCATGAAGAAGCAGAGTACAACCGACCCTTTACTTTCCTATGACCTGAATTGTATTGTATAGTTCATGGATCTTTGATGTCTACACATTTTCACCTACATAAGTTTTAATGAAGTACTATAGTTCACATCTACTTTATTTGTAATTCTTGCTTTAACTTAAGGTTCATTTCATTTTCGTTACTTTAGATTACAATTTATTATTCTGACTTTCTTCCTAGCATAAGGAAAAAAATTGGATTTCCAGCGCCAGTGTTGTCATTCTTTCTATATGCATCAAAAACTTGATGAGTCACGAAAAGCATTTCCAACGGCCTGCTAAAGACTTCTGACAACATCTGCCTTCACTCGTTCCATATTGGAGATTGGATGGTAAGGCAGAAAACATCAGTAACAAAAAACTGTGGCAATGAACCATCCAAGACCAAATTGTGCAACAAATATTCCAAAAAAAAGAGATGACCAGGACACATGTTGAGAGACTGTTGTGTGACATCGCGTGCCATGCCATCACTCGAATGGGAACTTGATTAGAAAACGGCGAGTTGGGCATATGAAGGAGGTCCTGTGGTGGGCAGATGAAAGCTTATGCGCAATCATGAGGCCATTTGAAGAGGAGTGCAGGTAACAATAGGAAACGAGGGGTGTACTGTTAAAGCTCTATATTTCACCGGGAACCCAGGGGGATTATAATAATAATTCGGGTAACTCTAAACCATAGTAGCCCAAACGAACTACACAAGTAAAAGTACGTAATAACCTTGAGTTCTGTAGAGTAGTGAGTGGGTCACGAAACAGCATGCTATACAGTTATTAGGATGAATTTATGTGCAGAAGGAGTTTTAAACTGTTGCTGCAGACCGCAATAAAGATTTAGGAGGTTTTCTTGGGACACATGTTTACCACTTTGATGCCTGTAAAAACTTTTTAAAATTACGCATCTATGCTATGGGCTCATGTGATTGGTTGATCAAGGCCGCAGCCTCTTTTTATCTAGGTCACTCACCCTGGTCGTTACAGTTTAAACTTATCATAACTAGTGTAGTATTTTGCAGTATTTTACATGAAAATTCATTGGACTTTGTTTTTAAATATTAGATTGCATTTCCTAATTGGAAAAAACTAATTGTAATAAAATAAAATGAATTCATTTCGCCATGTATATTTTGACATATTTTCACAAATGCCTAATTTATTGTTTAAATGAATCAACTTACTATATTCACGTGTAATTTTTGAATTGATTCCTCCTTGCCAATATAATACCATCCACATGCGAACCAATGAGCAACAAGAAAAAACATACACATTAAAAGACCCAATATTACTGTGCTATATTGTGAATAACGTTCAATTTTTTGAAATAATCTTGCCAATCGTAGTAAACGTGCCAATTTAAGTAAATGAATCCAGTTACCCTGAGGGAAAAAATTGAAGACAAGTAAAAAGTTGAAAATACAACACTTGCTAGTTCAATAAACAAAAATATTCAAGGTGCTAGTTATACTTATAGATTGATCAATGAATTTCTGTTCATGGCTAATTTTATTTTACTGACAAATCTGTGTTCCTTCTTGCCTACAGTATGACGGAAATATTTGTGTAGAATTAATGGGGCCAAACTAAAGAATAGCAACCATAAAGTACGAATGCACCAATCACTTTGAACGTATATCACCTGTTGGATTACAGAACCTGCCGTTATTACAGCGTTAGTATGAACGCTGTGTACGAACAGAGGCGCAAATTTCATCCTTATCTCGATTTTAAGTACTTTTTTGATAATGGGTTGATAGCACGTTTCGGTTAGGGTTAAGGTACGTGTTAGAGTTAAGGAGAAATGATAAGGGTGCTTTATTATTGTCTGTATTTTCCTTGCATATATATATATATAAGAGGAGTGCATTTCCTTGTTCATATAAATGAGACCGTTTAGGTGACTGTGAAACCTGAAAACTGATATCTTTCATTGTAGTTGGAAACCATTTTTCCGTTACATCAGGGTAAAACATTGTCTTTGATATGTTTAACTATTATTTTGTTGATTTTCTTTGTAAATCAGAGGCTTTTTATGTGAAATACATGCCGGATTCCGTAATCCAAGGAATGGTATATGCCCAAGGCTATTGGTGCGTTCGCAATCCGTGGTCTCTATTCTTTATGCTTGCCATTTTCAATGTGTTTCTTATAAGTTAGTAATTTACTACTGAAATACAGGTTCGTTTTCGTACAATTCAAGAGGCAGCAGGTCTTACCACTGAGTCTGAAACCCAGTGACTGTGATACAGTATAATAATAATAATAATTTTTCCTCCACGTTCCCAGTGGAACATAGGGTTCCAAGCTAGTAGCTTGAAGTTTCTGTAGCAGTGTTTAATTTTTACAGGATGGGGTCGCTAGCCTCATGCCCAACCTTTTCTCTAAACCAGCATTATTTCTGGCTCAGTGAGGTAAAGGAGTGCGCCGGCCGGGGATCGAACCCCGGACCATGAGCATGGTCGGCGAGCGTGCTAACCGCTATACCACTGACGCACAGTATACTTAGACTTTATTCTGTTTATTTATTAAATGTTAGAGTGAGATAATATAAATATAGGAATATTATTTGGAACACAATTTATTGTCCTTATTTTTACCGGTATAATAGGTTGCTGGAGGGAATAAATTGCTCCTTGTGATAACCGTGGTGGGTACAGCGGTTTTGACTTATTTGTTTTGAACACACAGCGTGGGATTGAACTTTTGGATCACCAGTGCTTTAGCTGTTCCCAGATGCCCTGATTTCACTCCCTTTGAGAGATGTGATTAGATCTTGTATATAACCCTGAAGGACTTTTCTGATAGAACTGGATGTTTTGAATTAACAAGATGTTCCGTCACCGTACAATATACACCCTTGCGTTCTCTCTTTGCTAAACCATGCTATATAGTGTTGCCAAGCGCGTTTTACAACCAGATGCATAGCACGGCCATGTCTCAAGAGAAATGCCCTATTCACATCAGTTAAAATTCTGCACAATCCATACAATAATACAGAAACATATTTGTTCCGCTTTTCCACTTGACATACAAAATTATTTTAATATTTTATTTTCAAAATAAACACTTAATAACAGCCACAACTCAAGTAATGTAAGTGCAGTCAAATATATTGTTCTGTAATTCACTCTGTTACATAAAAGTATCACTTATAAAATATTCACTTAAAGAAAATTCAAGTGTTCTTAATAGTAAAACGAAATGTGCTATTGCAAAAACTTTAATTTCAATCCATCTCAACAACAACAGTAGATAAAAAAACCGACTGTGCATTTAAGTTGTTTTAGTTATGTTGAATTTTCAAGTATCACTTTAATCTAGTAAAAGTGTTATTAAGTGGAATTCAGCCTTTTAGATTATCTTTTTTAATATATTTAAAATCATTAAGTATTCATGAAAATTGGGAAAAATGTGGCGTTGTAAATTGACTTTTAAAATCCATGTATTGTTTTCTCTAATTCATATTCGAATACTTGAGAATTCCCGCTAGTTATTACTGTGAGTAATATTTATATAATTCTGTTTTTGGTATGTTAAAACAAGTTGTATTAGAATACGTGTTTTTTATTCCCTCACGTTTCCAGTGGAACATAGAGCTTCAAGCTACAGGCTTGAAGTTTCTGTAACAGTGGTGATTATTTTTACAAGATGGGGTTTCTGGCCTCATGCCCAACCTTCTCTCCTTACCAGTCTTATTAATGCCTTAATGAGGTAAAGGAGTGCGTCGGCCGAAGATCGAACGCGTGACCATGTGCATGGCCGGTGGGCGTCCTAACCACTGTGCCATCGACCCACATTAGGATCTGTACAGAGCATAGAACATTAATTTCGGAGTGTATGTCATTCGCTTTGTATTAATTATGGATAAAATTTTATTTTGAGTAAGTCTCACAGTGTTATACAGTAGTATTTACTGATGATGTGTAAAGCAAAATGTTTTTTGCTCATAATCATATCAAACAGAAGGTCCAGCAATGGGATGACCAATATTCCTAACTGCAGCAGATGTCTTTATCGGTGGTTGGGAAAATATGAATCTTAATACACTTATACCCACTCCAAAAATGTTGTGGCGATAGCTAGATGATACTTTTAAAGTGTTAAAAAGATAGCATATCTCTGGTTTCTTCACACAAATAAACTCACTGGGAGAGGGAATAAAATTCACATCTGAATCAGAAAATCAACAAGGAGAATTAGCTGTGTTGGATAGTAAAATAAAACGAACGGGAAAAATTAAACTAAACACTAGAATTTGTGAAAAGTCAACCCAGTCTAATAGATATTTAGACTTTAATTCATCTCATTCGTTATCTGTGTTGACAGGCTTAGTTAAATGTCTAACAAACTGATCAGTGATCCAAATTAGTACATCAGAAGACCTAAATAATGAAATGAAACAAATAGAAGTAATGATTTTAAACAACTATCTTACTAAATTCACTAAAATGATGGCGAAAACTCTCAAGAAAAGAAACTATAACAGTCTATCTATTGTCCGTTAGAGTTTTAGCACCCAAAGTTTTACCGTATAAAGAACAAATATTGAATCCCTTCTTACGATTCCTAATAAAGCAGGAATAAGGGTGGTAATTAAACCTACAACTTCTTCAGGGACAAACTCTTTACGTTGAAGAAACCTACTAAACCATTTCGACAGAATAATACAATTTAAAAAATATCTTGCGATTGCTGTGAGGTGGATTACATACGGCAGACCACTGAATCATATCTGGAATAGTCAAATTGTCAGCACATAAAAATTTTGCATGATGTTGAATGACTAGCACCACGAAGACAAGTAATTTAGAAAAAACTCCGCAACTGTATTGCTTGCATTAGCACCCAACCACAGAGTTAAAGTTCTAAAAGGTAATATAGGTAGGTGTAGAGAAAGTTTGAAAACTGAATCCTGGTTCATTGAGTCTATACCCAGCACTTGCAGTAGAGACGACTCAACGCAAATACCAGCGATGTGGAAGATATAATTACCAATATAAGCAGTGGATAAGAGATAATGTTAAAATTCGTTCTAGTGTTACCTCTCTAACATGTTATTTGTTTTATTCGACTGACAAAATGTCTTATACCCCACCTTATTGACCAACAGCACTCATCTTATTTCTCATCATGTTTTATTTTTATTGATAACGCTAATATTATTTCCAAATGTAGTTTGTCTTCCTTCCTGTTTCATGCATATTTATTGAACTTTATTCATACTGATTTTGTTCATTCATTCATAAGTTCAATCATTTTTCACTATGCATATAAACGAAGTCAAAAGGTTCTGTGGGTACCTTGATATGATTATGAGCAGCAATAAATTGTGCTTGAGACGTCATCAGTAAATATAACCGTATGAGGGTGTGAGACTTTATAAAAATAAATTTTATCCAGGATGGAATTATGCTCTTCCACAGTGCACAAGTTATATTCTTATATTATGCTGTTAATTGAATATGAAAAATATGAATGATTTAAACTTTTGTGAAGACTATCTATACTGGACCCTATGCATTTCGTCTTAGAGACTGAACCGAAGACCTAGAAGTAGCGAGCTGATCTCCTTATCCTTTCAACCAATGGGTTGGAATTCAGCAACCTACGAATTCTAACTTTTGAATGTATATATTAGTGTTGTGTCTTCTGAGCTGGACGATTTATTGACGAGACTTCTTTTGTCTCGTAGCTATTACAATTTGTCATGTTGATGATGTTGGTTTTGTCTTGTTTTCCTGACGCATCTTTTAGTTGGTATAGTACCGACTGAAGTGATTTCGTTGGTTTTCGAGTGACATTAATCCTAAAATATTTCCGTAATTTCGTAGTGATTTCAAAGATTTTCTTCATATACAGTAACAAGATTCTATTCGCGTTTCTATTAAATAGTTTTGAGTTGGTTGACTAGGTTGTGACGAGTGAAGTATTGTGAATATTTTTTTTCTGGAAAACAGTTATAAGGTATTTCTACTCTACTCTCCTCAATACAGGAATACAGCAGCGTGTCCCAGCTGTTTACAATAATGTTTGTACACAAATCTTTTTGTGTGCCTTTGGAATGTTATTGTTGTGAATGAGTATCTGATCTACTAAAGTTGATGTTTGGCATGTATGAGTTTCTTATTCGCTTGTTTTTGCTAGCTTGAATACGACATCTAAAAACAAAATTTTGTTTTAAATTTTGTGTTGTAAACTGACTGTAGGTAAGGTCGAAGGTGTCTTCCAAATCGCTTCATTTGCTTATTACTAAATTCATCCACATTACACATCTCATTGTGGGGTTTGATTTTTGACAGAATTATGGTTTCAAAACTTTGCAAAATAGCTTTACAAAGTAGTCCTGATGCTGGTGATCCTACTGACTCACCTTTTATCCATTCTCTTATTTAACTTTTGGACAGAAAATATGTTATTAGACGTCAATTTCTGCCTTCCATCCAACTTTAGGATTGCAGTTTGAGTGTTGGGACAGGTACACTCCACTGATGGGTAATTGGTGCATAGTTAATCTTGTCATTTATGTCGAACTGAAGAGGATTGTCCTGTGACTTAATGGCTACTACAGCGACATGACTCTCCATCTGAATGTCGCAACTTAGCTGGAGATATGATGGAGTGATCACAAGATTCTGCGACATATTTTTGTCTTCTATGCCACCCCCGAAATAAATTGTGTCTTAGGGTTCATGGAAGTGAGATTATTGGTCGTAGCGGTATGTTTGGTTTGCACGGTTTGGCCTTACAGCAAATTCGATGTGGAACTAGTTGAATGCGTCCTCCTTTGTAGTCCGACTCCACTCGGCAAATATTTTGGTTCTTCGGATTTAGTTGCCTAATGTTTGGATTGGAATTATTGTAAACGTTTGTTGGTCATCTTTGAACAAGTCTCAAGCTTTCTTGATGCATTTCTTTGACCTTCTAAATGCAGCTACACACCACGACTTTTCCATGGGTCAGAATTCTGTTTCATATATATTTTACTTGAGTGTCAGTTTATCATCCCTTATTTCACTTAACTTCTGCTTTTCTTTTTATGAATACAATTTACTGAAAGTTACACTATTTCTTTTTTTTTCTATTTTTTCTTTTGGAGTAGATGACAAAAAAAATCCGTCCCTGGATTCAGAGAAACAACATGATGGATGGCAGATAATCATCATTTTTCTGGGTTTGATAAAGTGAACAAAACATTCCTGTTTGTCTAATAATTGATCTTTAGTAATTCCTTTATTTGGATATTGGAGTAGTTGATAGGTATTATTCTAAAGGTTTATATTTCTAGTATTAACTGGACTGGACAGAAATGTAACACACCTGACAGTACTTAATATAGGTTGCTACTGAGCGTCAACAACATGTTGCTAGGCTATTTAAATGCATTAGAATAAGTGTATTCATATACTGTTTTACTTATAATCCTAAGCCTTCCGAAAGTTGCAGATGAGTAAAAAAATATGCTTAGATTTTGAAACGGTTATTTGCAAATAACTGAATAAGGCATGTTGGTCAGCTCATTAAACATACAGGAAAATGAGTGAGCTACAATTTGGACATATTTATTTCAGTGTATCTGTTTATCGTAGTGTAATGCCTTGGACCACCGACCTTGTTTATACCTTAGTTAATTTAAAATATTGACTTTTCAGTCTTTACACGAACGCACATCTATTGACTATAATTACCTGACAAGAATGTTGAGGAAGTGTGAAATCTGCTCACGATGGTATGTGACTATATTATGGTGCACTTTGAAGTGATGTTAGTTTTTGGAGATATTTATCACCACCACTAAGGCATACAGAAATTATCTGACGTATTAGTGACAAGCTATCCATGACCTCGAACAGATAATTGGTAACGTGTGTGATGATAGCAGTGTATGAGAGGATTCTAATCTTCTGCCGAATCAGTTCCTTTAAAGCTGCAGGTGACTATCAGCAAGCACAAAATCTGAGTTCGTAACTTCTTTCCGATAGAATCTAAACACCCAACACCAGACTTTATTTCACCCCATGAATTTCTTGAGTGAACATAAGTACATTACATTGGTAATATTTATGCGATGAAGTTTTGACTGACGCTGAGATGAACTAACCATCATGTTTTCGGTGCAATGCTACTCTGACTGAACCGTAACATTTATTATTTGGAAAGCTGACATTTATTTTCATCGCCTAGAATTTTCGATAATTTGCCATGCGAGTAGATGATATGTAATAGCTGTTCATCACCATATGAATTAGACACTTTGATGGATTACTTTATAACAATAATGTCAGTTCACAAAATGTTATCTAGGCTGTTTGTAAATACAGCTATTCATGTGCTTTTCTCCAGACAGTCACTTACACAATCCTCGGGAGAACATTTATTATGTCAAGTTAGGCTTAAAGCCGTATAAAATGAAAAGTATTTTTGGTTTCATCTTATAAATGCAAGTAAACCATATTTTACTAAATTATTAGAAAGACATAGGACTATGGGTAAAGTAGTGCAACGGCTTTATTGTATATCCCAGCTAATTGTGGCGTCATAGTCGATTGCTATGGGGGTTTAATGACAAATTATATTTTGGTATGCTTTATAAATGAAATTCTGCGGTAAAAATTCATTTCCTTATGTACATACTGCTGGTGGGATTAAGTTCTTAAACCGAGTAATGTTTGCTTCATTTTTACCAGAAAATGCTGATTGACACTGATACCTGCGCGATGTTTGATGAATTATAGGGGGCAGTAAGTTCAAAAGTTAAACGTATATTATTCACTTTTCATGAAATCGCGCTGGTATATTTGGGCCTATTTATTGAAACGCCCTAATTCTCGCCGGATGAAGGTGGCGCCACTCCTAAAATTGGATATATCATATAATCTCCCGACTTAGTATTTCGATGCATTTATTCTAATATATTTGAATAATCTAGTAAAATGCCGTTTATCCTTAGTCGAAATTGTCTGTAAACGTTTTCTCAGGTTTATATTAATATACTGCATTATTTGTATTTTGTTCCGTTGGTGTGAAAAGTGCTTCAGTAGTCCTAATAAGTATACAAAAGTACTAAATTTAGCCATTTTCTTTCATAATATTATGATGCAGATCCATTTCTTGTTGTGTAAAGTGGTCTGTCCATTATGTGCTGTGCAGGCAAGTATGCCAACAGTGTAGCTTCTCAGCCTGTTTTCACTGATTGCTATCTTTTAACTTTGTCGGCTAGTAATTCCTCGTAATCTCTGGTATAGAACCATTTAAACTAAATAAAAATGTTCTTTAAGTGAATCCAATTTGAAACGACTCTCGTTTAAATGCGAATTGGTGATGGGCAACTATTTCGTCCCAATTTTATACTCCTCAAGAGTGTTCAGACGAGGCTTCTCCAGGAATCAAGTTTGCGACGCTTTAGTTTCGAAGTGAATCATGTTCTTAGCCAACTGAAAAACTGGAATTCGCTATTTCTTTATTTAAAGGATTCTCTTCCAGAAGTTGTTTGCTGGTGAGATCTTTCTTAAAAAGTCTCCAGCTCCAACACATCAAAAATGTCCTAATAGAATGTGCACATTTTGGATATTACAACAAGTTTTCAGTTGGATCAAAAGTTCAGCCCTGATTTAGTATCAGAAGCACCAAATTATTAGGTTGAAACCGGTACTCTGAAACGTAGTTTTTCGATACTTGGAGAAATTCTCAACAATACAGCTCTTTTATTCTCAAAAATTCTGTTTAACAACCCCTTGTTTTTTACTGATTTTTTAAAAACCTCACAGTATGAATATTTTTAACCTCTTCCGACTTACCATCTCCCCAATAGTTCCTTGAATATCTGGATTATTCACAGCCAAGGTCACCTCGAATGGAATAGCAGCAAGTAGGTCAAGAAAGAACCAACCACGTAAATAATTGATAGCGATAGCCTTCAAGTGATAAACAACTTGCCCACTTTTGCTAACATATGTGGTCCAAAAATTCAGTATGATATCTATAAGAAATTTGTCATAGAAAACACTTTATTTTGATGTAATCAAAGAAATGAAAAGCACATTAAGACAGAAAAATGAATAAAGAATCTAAAAAATTATTCATTATAAATGCGCATTAACGTTTTGCATATTGATGGCAACATCATTTTCAGTGAAGAACTGACGAAGTGACTCCGAGATTGATTTGGGTAAAAGAATACTGTGGACAAACAATTACACGAGGAAGTCATAGCAAGTCCTGATAAATAAAATACGATTAATAAACATAATTTTCCGAAGCACTCATTTGAAAATCTGTTTTCAACACGGTTCTTTCTTTAGAAACCTCTAATACATATAATATAATATATGAACTGGTTGAGACAATCAGCGAAATCAATAAAGCGGGCATAAACCTTATGTGATATATATAATTTTTTTGTTTTCCTTCACGTCCTCCAGTAGAACATAGGGCTTCAAGCTAGTGGCTCGAAGTTTCTGTAGCAGTGTTTATTTTACAGGATGGGGTTACTAGTATCACGCCCAACCTTTCCTCTTCACCAGCATTATTTCTGGCTTAGCGAGGTAAAGGAGTGTGTCGACCGGGGGTCGGACCCCAGACCATGCGCTTGATCGGCGAGCGTCTTAACTGCTATGCCACTGACGCACGATGTATACTACTAGGTAACAAACAACTCATACCAACATTTGGCCCAGTTAAAATCACCTGAACTTAGACTCAACAGATTCGATTTTCCTGAGTGAATCAGTTCGAGTACACTGCCAATAAGTTTAGAACATAGAAACAAAGCCACTGTCGGTTATGAGCTGTCATTGTACAGTTTACTTTTCTTCAGTATTCGCCGGGGGTGGGGCGAAATCTATCTGGCTATTGGTTTCGCGTTAAGGACAACAGTTATTGATTTATATATGTTTAAACCAAGTTTACTTTTAACAGCTTAAAAAATATGGGCATCGGGTATACGGTATTCATTATGATAAAAGTTATTTGTATTTTACATTCACTAGGAAATACAAATATTATACAAATTATAATGAACAGCTATTGATATTTATTGTGAAGGAAATTAGACCGTCGACCCTGAAAAGAATTGCTTCGTCGCAGCTGAAACCCCGAAAAAGATTAGCACTCATGTCAGTAACAGTATCATTCGCTTGTGGAAAAATGTGGAGGAAATCAGCTGATATATTAAATGAACCCCATGACACTAAAAAATAGTCTGTAAAACCGCTATATTATGATTGTTTTTTAATGTGGTATCTATTTCAGGTTTATTGATAAGAACAGCTTTATTCTGATGAAGATATTTGCACAATATACAGAATTCTCAGTGCAATTCACTGCAAAATATTCTCTCATCCAGAATGTTCAAGCAAAATAACAGTCTGCAGCATACGACATGATGCAATACTGTCTGATTTGTAAATATGCAGATCACTGCTCAAGTGAAATCCCAATGGGAAACAATGGGAATGGTCGGTGAGAGAAGGATATGGAGGAGATCGTGCGAGGAGGACATGAGAGATAACGGTTAATCATACATCCGTCTGAAGAGGACGGCAGAGAATAGAACAAACTGGGGATGTTTTGTTGAGGCCTTATGTTCCACTAGGAACCCAAGGGAATAATAATAATATAATAATAGTATGATATTTTAACATTCTTAACTATCCTATTTATGTTATGTTCTCTTAATTCTGACTAAATTGTGTCTCGAACTAGGCAATAGTTTTATAATAACGATTTTCCAGTATTCACGAACGCATGCAGCTTACTGCACTTTTTACTCTTTGTGAAGGTCAGAATTTGATTAGTTGTCGAATCTACAAAACTTATCAATGAATTTATTGTCTGTCAACCTCATCCAGCGTAAAAACGCACAACGATAAAATATTATTTACAGAAAGTTACGCTGATAGCTAATCACAATGTCAACCAAACAAACAACTTTACCCTCGGTGTTTGAATGCAAGAAGCAAAAAACTGTTCTGGAAACGTTATCACGTCATCATAATACTGCATCACTGTGTATTTTTACTAAATAATGTTATAGTATGATGGAGTTATAATCTACCTAAGTGCCCATAGAGAAACGAAAAGACAGGGATATCCTGGACCGAGGTGAAGAACCTCGAAGACCTGAATTTCGTGCGTGGATGATTTATGTTTGATGTCACAAAAATCGAAGACTTACAAGCGAAAACCGACAAACTGGTCGAAGAAGCAGCCAGAGAAGACAGGACTCCAAGTGAACATAGACAAAACGGAGGTCATGAAACTAACCAGCCAGCAACAACAGCAGCAACATCTAGCGTCAATCACCATCAACGGGAGGGATTTGGATGAGGTTACTCCATTCACTTATCTAGGGAGGGAGCATTGTCTCAACTACAGGCAGTTGGAACAGACGAGGATGTCAAATCGAGTGAGAATCAGGAAGGCGAGCGAGAAACACATTTACTCATCAACCTGAAACCAATCTGGAAATCTTCGTCGCTCAACATCAACAACAAAATCCAGTCGTATTTTCAATACAAACAACGTCAAGTCAGTCAGTTCTTCTATACGGATCAGAAACTTGGTGGGCGGGTCACAAAGAATATTTCCAACAGCCTGTAGCAGACCTTCATCAACAACAGCTGTCTTCGCTGGATCTATTCTGAAGATCAGATGGCCGCGGCGGAAAGAATCACCAACAAGAAACTATGGAAACAAACAAACAAGAACCAATAGCCCAACAAATATGCAGGAGAAAGTGGAGATGGATTGGACACTCATTGAGGAGGCCGGTTGGTGACATCACGCGTCAGGCCATTGCTCGCGTGGAACCAGGCCGAAAGGGAAGAGGCGAGTGGGACGTCAGTGCAAGGGTGACATGAAGGGGATCGTGTGAAGAGAAGTTGAAACAGTATGAACTAACTGACATGGATGCAAGTGAAAAGTACAGCAGAAGACAAAAGCAAGTGGAGACGTGCAGCTGAAGCCTTATGTTACACTAGGAACACAAGGGAACAATAATAATAGTAACAATAAGTGCCCATATTCTATCCTTAGATCGCTCTTAAGTGATTAGTCTATTGTCAAAGACAGTAACGTATGTCTTTACTACGATCCATTTTCCTTTCTTGTTCCTGTATTTTGGAAATACAATTGTTGGTGTTGCGATGGTGGTTGACACTGTGATTAGCGACTACCTTAGCTTCGTTAGCTCATTGAGTTCATACTATTTACAGTCAGCTAGTTTGCATTACCGATCATGTTTGTTTGTATGAGCGCGGTTTTATTAAATACCGCACTCAATGCTAATTTTATTTATTTGATTATTAAAACACAAGCTTGGTACATTATGGTAACAAGAGATTCATCAACTAAAAGTTCATAGTTTGTGTGAGGGCTTAGATACTCTCCGGAGATATCGAGACCAAAGCATTTGAAGCCTTTTACCTGAAGTTGGGGGGGGCTGTTGGAATAAGGGGTAAAGGGCGGGAAAAAAAAACCGAAACCAAACAAAATAGGGAAATTTCAGAGAACTTTTTAGAACCCAAAAACCAAAAACCGTTTTTCCATTAAAAACCAAAAGCTTTTAAAATTTAAAATTAAAAGTTTTTTTAAAAAATTCCCTTTTTTTTTTTTTGTGCCAAAAAAAACCCCTTTTTGGGAAGTTGGCAGGACTTCAAGGCTTCTGCGCAGTTGAGTGGCGTTCAAGATCTGTCAGCGATGGAGCTGCTACTTGAGACGCTGCTGGGCGGTCGGGCGAAAGCAGCATATGAAGGTGTGGGCCGAAGTATGGACGAATGTTCGACAGGGTCAGGCAAGCAGTTTCCAAAGTGGGAAGGACCATATATGGTCACTTCGAGATGGGGTTACGTAGACACAGTCGCAATGGCGAACAATGAGAGGCGCGTGAACGTCAGCGAGCTCCAGAAATGGATACAGCGAGACAAGCCAACGATGACGCCTGCACCAAGTGGATCAAGCCGACTTCAGTCGCACGTATTTGACGGGGGGACGAGTGTGGTGGGAGCAGGCTGCTAGCCGATTGGTTGGCACTAATCTACGTTAAGGTCTAGGTCACTAATATGGGCCGTGAGAAAATATGAACAAGCCTGAGTCAACAACCAATCACAGCAAAGTTAACGTGGCAGAATATGATTCGCAGAGAGAACTCTATTTGTCAAGGAATCCCGAAACAACCAATCAGAAGCCTGCGTTTGTCTACCTAACTTCTGATAAACAACCAATCAGATGACTGCGCTTGTCTATAATAATGTAGTTGAAAGATGTATAAATACGTGTTGATTTTCATAATAAACGATCTGTTGCTTCGCCCTTGTCTTCTGTTGTTACACTAGGTAGAGAAGTAGTATCAGCGGCTATGTTCTCATGGTTTCTAGTGACGAAAGCGTCTTCAGACGCCATTATATTCTTTCGGATTCGGAAGCCCATGCACATCATCAGTTTGGAATCAGCATTTTTCAGGTCTTACTGGTAGACCTCTGTGTTTATGAATCCAGATTCAAGTGTCAGACGTTTGTATTTGCCATTTTCTTCTCTTGTTAGCAGCACTCCCGACCCATGAAGTCAGTGAATAAGGCTCACCTGTCATAGTCTATGAACTCATGGCCACAAGAGAGCATTTTGAGATGAAGACCGAAGTCTGCCCACTTTTAACCGTATCTGATAGCTCACCAACAGATTAGATTCACCATAAATAGAAGTTAAGCACTGCTTTAATTATGTGATGAATTTCAGAGCTAAAAAATCTCACCAAAAACGTTTTTCACTGTGGAATAACTGTTTTTGTCTTACAATGAAAAAATATCCTTTAACAAGAAAGAATCTCATATATATATATTCAGTATTCATTATCAGTTGTATTAGAAAAGATTTATCTGGTGTAGTAGACGCGAATGATGCTCACACACGCAACACATCTGCCCATCGAATTATTTCCATATCGTGATAACTGGTAATTATTGAATTCTGTTTTTTATTTAT